GGGGGGGGGGAGGGTACCGGGGATTGAACTCGGGCCCCTGCAAGCAGTTTTTAAAACTACACACACAGTATTAAAGGAAGAACTTAGAGAATTACAGGAAATATGTAAAATTTTAGAAAATACAGAAACGGATGGTAATGAGTACCATAATCCTACCATAATAAGACAACTCTTGCTTAAAGAACCACTAAATGGTAACTAGGTTTTACCCTTTGACACCTCAGGCTTTTTCTGTTCTTTCAGGTTGTTGAGGATATTGGCCTGGGATTATTTAAAGTATTATTCTCCAATGTATTAGCTCTCTAATGTATTTAAAATGTGATTTCAATTCAGAAGTATCTGATTTACGTTAAGCTTTCCAAGATCCTATTTCTGTTTCATAGTGAGTTAAACACGCATAATATGATATCTTAGTATAGGAAAGTACAGTACTAGAAGTTTAGAGAAATTTTGTATTGATGCACAGTGGTAAACAAGAAAAAGACAGTGCTGAACATATCAAAGGTTAATACTTGCAGCAAATTCAAAACTTTTTAATAGGTCAGAATGATTTAAAGTTTTGTTAATAGTACATCTTTTATTTATATAAAAACCTAATGGTAAATTCAAATTAAGTAATTTCATTCCTTGATAATTTTACAGGTGTCATTGATGGTTATGCAGATGAAAAAACTCTTTTTGAAAGGCAAATTCAGGAAAAAACTGATATAATAGATCGTCTTGAACAGGAGTTGTTGTGTGCAGGTAATAGATTGCAAGAATTGGAAGCAGAGCAACAGCAGATCCAGGAAGAAAGAGAATTACTGTCAAGACAGAAGGAGGCTATGAAAGCAGAGGCAGGCCCAGTTGAACAGCGTATGTATTTTTAGACTGTGTAAAACATTCCTCTTTTATTTATATTATTTAAACTTTTTTTCCTCTTTCAGAACCATTTTTGTGTATTTTACGTAGGAACTTGAAAAATTATTAGTCAAGCATGTGGAATCAGGATCTCTAGGGGATTTTGTTTTTTTGTTTTTTGGGTTTTTTTTACTTTTGGCAGGTATTAGGTGTTAAAAAAAAAAAGAAAGAAAGAAAAAAGATACTTCTTTATCCCCAAATCTCTGCCTCAGGATAAAGGTACAAATAGTAAGGTAGAACATTTTACAAATTGTGTGAGGTTTAGTTCTTTTAATAGCAGAGAGGCAACAAAAATATATTGTTGAATTAAATAATTTAAGAACAATGATCTGGTGCCAGTAGAAAGCAGGTATGGGGCCCTTGGGCCTCCAAGCAAAATAGTTTGAAAGGGCCATTTGCTGCTACAAGCAGCTGACCTCTACTCTAATCTAAGTAAGCATTCAAATAATATTTAAATTTTCAAATAAACTTTAATTTTTCCTTAACAGAAATTAAGTAACATCTTGAAGTTAAAGCTTGTTCAATGATATCACTTTCTGAAACAGTGGAACTTTAAATCCTGTTTATCATGTCCTCTCATTTTTATATTACACATGCAGTGGAAATTATAAATGTCTTTAATTTCATTTTATCTATTTAGAAATATAGTATACATTTTTGTAATATGCTGAAGTTTTTTCTGGTGAGTTTTTAACACAGATTTAGGGTTGGAATTTTTAGTGTGGGATAAATACAAATTAGTACAAAATATTCAAGAAATACTAGAACTTCTCAAATATTACTAAGAATGATAAACAGTGACTTCAACTTTTGCTTCTAATACATGTGTCCATAAAGCATTGTTGTAAGAAATGACATAATTATGTTTTTGTTATGTCTGTCTTTTCTATTCTCATAGGACTAGTAGATGCTGCAGTCGATGCAGCACCTGGAGCAGGTGTGTGTGTGTGTGTGTGTGTGTGTGTGTGTGTGTGTGTGTGTGTATACAGTTGCATGGACTGTTTTGGGGTGGTAGACTTAAAGTTCAAAATTTGGGTGACTCTGGGATTTTCAGCCAACTAACATCTCTAATTTTGCAGTTTTGCTGTTGTGTTTCATACTTAACAGTTTTTCTCTTTAACAACAACAAAACAACTTATTTTACAATAAAAACACACATTTTTGCTTGAAATTGAGTTTCATAGTAACCATCATTTTGTTGTATCTAGTTTTGTACAGAGCTTAAAAGATTTTTTAAAAGACAATGTTGAGTTTTTAAAAAAAATTTTCTTTTATAAGTACATTAAACTCATCTATAGCTTTTCAAAATGCTCCTTCAAAAATCAGGAAGATTGTGGTAGCAAAAGATTCAGTGAAATTTAATAACAGGCTTTCTGACTGATTTATTTTTATATTACCATCCAGTAGCACTATTGTTTTAAAAAGAAAGATGCTTTCTGCAGATTTTTAGTCTTGAGTATACTGTAAACACATCAGTTAGTATACCATGAAGATTGTAGAATAAGTTATTTCCATTTACTTCATTAAAAGATTATTTTATTTTCCCTATGCTTTATTATTATGTTAATAACAGTATCATTTACTTTGTGTTTGTCACTATTCTTTACATATTGTAATTCATTTGATTCCCAAAATCATTCTAAGAGATTGGTAACAATACTCTCATTTTACGTCTAAGAAAAGTGAAGAATGTCGTATTAAATGTCACATAGGAGAAAAGGCTTCTGAGCTTTGGAGCTTTGGAGCCCATAGTCTGCTCCTTAGCGACAACGTCTCTGCCCCTTACACATGTCAATTTTCCCTTGATCCACCTGCATGTGAGCATGCAAAAGCATCTCTGGAGTATGAATCTGATAAGGAGTAAATATAACAGGAAATTCTGCTATGGTACAGCATTTGATCTTTGTGTATTATATATGCATATACAAGTAACTATGGGCTTAGAATGGAAAAATTTTGCCTGAGGTAAAGAAAATGGTGATTTTTTTTCTATGCTTGAATTTAATTGGACTTTGTACCTTCCCTGATGGTGAAAGTAGATTTTTTTGGTCATGTACTATGTTGTTTTTACACAATTGTTAATTTTTGTGACAGAACATACTTTTTGGTTAATTCTGTATCAATACTTAGCTTACTTATGTAGACGTGAGATAATCTTGAGACTTGTGTAAGACAATACTCACTTTTTAATATGTATTTAAAATAAGTGTCAGCCTTTATTTTATGAAGGTAAAATTTAAATATAGTTATGGGTGATTTTATAACATCATTAATTATGTTTACCTTGGTCTGTTTTCACATTTGTAAACAGAGTTACTACAAGAGACAGAAAAACTAATGAAGGAAAAGCTAGAAGTACAGTGTCAAGCAGAAAAAGTACACGATGACCTTCAAAAGCAAGTGAAAGCTCTAGAAATAGATGTTGAGGAACAAGTCAGTAGGTTTATAGAGCTGGAACAAGAGAAAAATGCTGAACTAATGGATTTAAGACAGCAAAACCAAGCACTGGAAAAGCAGTTAGAAAAAATGAGAAAATTTTTAGATGTAAGTATTCTCAACTTGAATATTGATTTTTCTCAAAGGAATGCTACTTACTGCTGTTCAAGGCTGGGAATTTTAAATTATGGGGACTCCTGAGTGACTTATTTTCACCCATATTTGTATTGTACAATAATCAACAAGGGTGGGGAACTACCCCACTTACGGCCAAAGCAGGCTGTAAGCAGTACAGACTGTAAAGAGTTAACCCCACAATTGGCTTGTTTGTAAAAGTGAAACTGGCCAAAGCCTATGTGCTGAGGTCAGAGTGACTTGCACCCAAATCCTGTTCCCAGAGTTAAAACCTTTACTAAAAGGACAAGATTAATTATTAATCACAACCCATATTTTTTCTGTTCTGTTCCTAATTCAAGAATGCTTTGTCTTTTCTGTTACAAGCCTTGCCTGTATCAGTAATGTGTCCATTACCAGCTACGGGTCCTCTCACTTAGCCCCTTTACCTCAGTGTAACTATGATGTCACTAATAAATATCCGTAGCTGTGGGTATTCAAGGCCTTTGCTTGTTCAAGCCTGTAACTGCTTAAGCACTGGTCATCCTGGCTCCCTGTGTATATGTCTCTAACTGTTCCTCTATGTCTTCTTGCCATGCATTGTAGCACTGAGCAGGAGATGGGAACCCACTGCAGGAGTCCCCTGTAAATGAGTACTAATCTCATTAAAAATTCCAATAATTTATATTGTACCACAATTAGAATTAAAAGTAGTACAATCAAGAATGTAGCTCCATGGTAGAGTACATGCACGAGGTCCTGGGTTCAATCAGCAACACATACAAAAACAAAAAAGTAGAACACGAAGCTATGAATAAGCCCCACTGCTCTTTCCAAATTCAGAGTTAAGCATATCCTAGTCTTTCATTTAACTAATACCAAAACAAATGAGAATTGTAAGAGCTGATTGGCACCACTGCTTCCCCCTACAAAAAGTACACATAGGTAACCATAGTGGTGCTTGGAAGTGGAACTAGAGCAGTTGGCATAATGCCATTTATGACTTTCACCAAACAATGTTAAATCTGTAATCTCACAGATTTTTTTCTTTAGAATTTCATATAAGTCTGATGTTCTGTTCACACATCAGAATGTCACATTCTTATACATTTTCTAATGTTAGGTATGAAACTTAGATTAGGATTAAAGAAATAGATTTATGAGACAATTTTTACACTTATTTTAATGACTAAATTAACACTAGGATTTTTCCTTTGTGCAAAAAGGTGAATTCATTTAAGAATTTTTTTCCTTCTGATTTAACATAACGTGAATTTAAAAAATATACTTGAAATAGTTTTTAAACACTTAAGTTTTTGCTGAAGAGCCCTGAGAAGATACATAACACAACCCCCCCAAAAAATGTTTTCTTTTTAAACTTTTGTGGTTCAGAGTATTCTGTGGTCATCAGTTCTTCATCTTCAAACAGGACTAATCTTTAACAAAAGGGAAATAAGGTAAATAATGAGTTCGATAAATATTGTTTCTTCACTTATTGTTATTATTATTAAATTTCAGGAGCAAGCCATTGATAGAGAACATGAGAGAGATGTATTCCAACAGGAAATACAGAAACTGGAACAGCAGCTTAAGTTTGTACCTCGATTTCAGCCTGTCAGCGAACATCAAACTAGAGAGGTAAGAACTTTGTTGATATTACCTACCTTACATTAATTTGTATCTTGTGAACAAAATAAGATTTATCTCATGAAAAACATAAAGGTGAATTCTTTTTATTGTATATAAATCTTAAAAATCAGAAAATCAAATACTACGCAAATGTGAGATCAGCATGAGTGAGGCCCTGCATTAGATTCTTCACACTGCAAGAAAAAGAAATTGTTTGAATTAAAATTTGAAATTATTTTCATCTGCATGTATCTTCTAATGTTAACCAGTTAAATAAACTTCCCTGCTCATTTTTTTTTTTTTACTCCTATTCCCAACAAAACTGATCAAAGGAATTCTCTGTATTCACTCTTTACTACATTTCCCATTCCCTTCTCAGGCACTCTAGTGAAGTTTCCAACTCCTCTGTCTTGGGGTTTTATGCCCTCTATTCCACTTAAACTGTTTTTGTGACAGTTACCTCTAGACTCATCCCTCTGTCAGGTATCATCTGTCTTTGTCCTATTCAACCATTCAGGGGCATTCATTACAATCTTCTTGTGAAAACATTTCTTTCCTTTGGCTTCTGTGACATACCTGCTCTACTGATTTCTTTTCTCTAGCCTTTTTTCCCCCTCTGCCTGCCCACTATAAATGATGGGGCGTCCCATTTTAAGCTTCTTTTTCTTCCATACATACATTCACTGCTCGGGCAGTGATATAAAAATGATTCCGCATTTGTTCCTTTGTTCTTGATATCTTTGTTGAACTCCATACTTGAATATTCAACTGCCTGTTCTTTCTCCTCTTAGGTGTTTCAAGATTAACATGTCCAAAAGAGAGCTCTTGATCCCTAATGAACCTTTACCAAGAGAAACAAGAATAAAGCTTGTTTCTCCTTCATCTCAAAGTCCATACCTTCTGCTCATTGCTAAGACATAGAATTCTTCCTTGATCTGACTCTTTTTTCAACCCTCCTTCCAACCCATTGCTAGGTCAGATTTGTACTACATCTTTGTATTCTTTCCACCTTCATTGTCATCAGTTTGGCTGATGATTGTGGTAGCCTGAATACTCTCTGTGCTGCTACTTTTTCACCCTCTTTGTCCATTTTCCTCACACTAAAACAGTCAGGGTGGGCAGCTCGGCTGAGTTGGGTGACCTGTCTGTCCAGGCCAGATGCACCAATGTAATAGATTTCCTTTAAGATCATGGTCTGTCCCACCGCTCCTGGCCCAGAGAAAGGGGCTACCAGGCCACCATCCTTCCTGCCACTCCCAGACAGGAGGAAGGGGCTTCCAGGCCACCATCCATCCCACCACACCCAGTCAGAAAGAAGGGGCTTGCTAGCCGCCATCTGTCCCACTGCTCCCAACCCAGAGGTAGGGGCTTCCAGGCTGCTGTCAGTCCCACTGCTCCTGGCCCAGGGGAAGGGACTTCCAGGCCACCGTCCATTCCACCACTCCCAGCCCAGAGGAAGGGGCTTGCAAGTCACCATCCATCCCGCCATTCCAGGGCCAGAGGAAGAGGCTTCTGGGCTGCCATCTGTCCTGCCACTCCGAGCCCAGAGAAAGGGGCTTCTGAGCCGCTGTCCCACCACTCCCAGCTCAGAGGTGAGCCGCACTGGTGCCAACAGGAACCCCCCCTCAGGTCGAAACGAGAAAACACATAAACAAGTCTCAAAACCAGACTTCCAGATCACCTACAATAACCCCCAAAAGGAAATGAGATGGAACACTCTGATACTCAACCACCTGGACTC